CCAGCGAGGATATCCTCGACGGCGAGAAAACCTCCCGCGACCATTTGCAGCAGAGGTATTGCTCGAGCACTGTCGACGTCAGTCGCGGAGGAGCGAGCGTCGACGAGGACCGACGAGGTCCTGTTTACACGGTCGACGCCACCGAGATGATACTGAAGGGACAGCTGGAGCGATCCGGTTATACACGGGATTACTTTACCGTACATCATCTCTTCGACTCCGAGAAGAAAGAGGATAAAGTCCAACCGCACGGCGGTTTCGCCACTTTGCCCAGACGAGGGAATCTTTCGAAGGATCAACCCGATCCCGTCAGAAGATTTTCTGGAAACGGACCGACCCTGGAACCGCTCTACGAACACGCGGTTAGCGATCCAGTGAAACCACGAGGAATTCAGAACGTGATACCCTGGTGGGAGCTGGCCACTAGGAAGTACAGGCATCGCAGTTGCCCATCCTTGCAGGTAAATTGGGTTAGAAGCGGTGGGTCGCGCCAACCGGGGACAGTCGACAGGTGTGTCGAGATTGCGGTCGTGCCTCGCCTCGTCGCGAGTTTAGATCAATAGCTCCCAACGCGAGAGCTAGAAATGCAGGAAATTGATCGAGTAGGCGGATATTCTTTCTTTTATTTTCATTTTTATAACATTTATGACGAGATATTATAGTCAGTGAGAGAGGGTAGGGGAGGGGGGAGAGAGAGAGAGAATTCAATTCACGAGGTGCGTATTTTCACTTTCACGAATCCGCTCGTGTAAAGTGAAATCAGATGATATAATTAGAGGTACATCGCGATATCAGATTTTACGCCGCAAACATCGGTTCGTCATGTATGATGACGTTACGAGAGATTAATTTCACGAAACGGACAGTATGCGATAAATATGGCTTTTGCAGCATCTCATTGCTTCGGCAAGAGCCACGCGACAGCCTTCCCGCTAATCGACCTTCACGTGTAATCGCAACTCATCGAAACGGAAGATAAAAAGATATATTTCGCGCGTCGAATCGTCGTACAAATGGATCGATCCGACTGCAGTGACTCCGAACGATTATAGCAGTGCACCGATGTGATTTGTTCTGCCGCGGGAAGATAGGGCAATGTACGAGAACGGTCGATATAATCATAATAAATTCGATAATCAGCCCTCGTCGTCGAAATTGAATTCGTCGGTGCATTAGAAAGACGACGGCAACATAATGTAGCGTGGGTCGACCACTCGTGGTCTCGATTGAATAATTACGCGCGCATACTTCGGCGCTCTTTGTGATTTTTATTCTACACCGACAACGAGACTCTTGTCAATTGGAGTCGCAAATGTGACGTTGTGTGTGTCTCACGTAATCACGTAAATCACAGCAAATATAACTTACGCATATGCGCGCATATCGGTGAGAAATTCTGTTTTCTTTTTGTTTTCGTGTTGAATGTTTAAGTAAATCCCCTTCGGGATACCTTCAAATATTTTGGGACTTCAGCTCCGAGATTTTCCTCTCGAAAAGGAATTCCTTGAAAAAAGATATTTCCCTTGGAAAGAGAAGAAACATTTCTTAGAAACGTAGGTAGTCCTAGCGATACAATTTTCGTGAAACGACCCTACTTCCCTCACAGAGATTTGTGGTGGACCGTTGTGTCGTAGACTTTATTTTATAGTATTCCCACGCGGAACAGAGATTTATGCGTCTCTCAAGTTACATTTTCGGTCGAACACATTTTCCTATAGAGTTTTCGGACGAAATCCCCTCTCTGTTTTTCTTTCCTTTTTCTTATTTTTCTTTATAATCAATTATGCCTCGATATTGCGATCGTAATAACTTATCCGAATTAAATGGGGCGCGAAGTGCAATCGCTGATTACCCGGATGCAGCGAGGCTCGTTAAACACACTTTAAGAAAAGTCTTGAAACAAAAGGGTTAAGACCGTTGCTCTCCCCATCCCAAGATCTTACGTATCTGCACGCATGATGCACACAATGTTCCAAGATTGAACATTAGAAACGGAGAAAAGTATTTCGCGCAAAATACAGTCTGTTCCACAAGAAAGTATACGGTAGCATATCGAGAATATATGACTTAAAAAAAATGACTTTAGTATATTAAAGTAGATACAAAAAGATATTGCACAATTACTTAATAATGGGTCCAGTCGCCTCCATTGTTAATTTTAGCTTGACACGCTTCTTGGCATGCTTTCGACTAATTTTTAGCATATTCAAGTGGTAAAGAGCGCCGTAACTTTCTGATTCTAGTCGACAATTGCTTAAGAGTAAAGATAGATTTCTCTCTTAGTTTGTGCTTTATGTAAGACCACACATTTTCAATTGGATTCGCATCTGGGGACAATGCAGACCAATCCATTGTAATGATGCAATTTTCATCTTTCCATCCTGTGCAGAGGATGTTTGGGGACGTTATCTTCCTGAAGCTTCCAATTGTTTTTATTTTTTCCATAAAATTTCTCAAATATGGATCTTAAACATAGATGCTTAACTGTCCGCTGGATGATCTTATTACTTGAGACCGATCAGGCTTTTCGTATAGGTAACCATGCCCAAAAAGAAGCTTCGTTTATGAAGATAACGTTGTCCCAATCTTTACTCAAATTTTCATGAGCCCGTGCAACTCGTCTTGTGACATGTTTTTGTGTCAAAAGAGGCTTTTTAATTGTGGAATGATATTTTACGTTCGATTCATATAAACGACGTCTTATGGTATTTATTCCAACATTTATACCCTTTTCACGAAGTTAATTCCGAGCTTAGCGCAATATTAGCGTAGAGTTTCGTTCAAACAGACAAATGATCGTCTTGTCCTCTCTCGACGTCGACGCACGGGTTAAGCCTCTTCCTAGCAAATCGCCAACATTCCCTACTTCTTTGTACTGTTTTGCCCACTTCTGAACAAATGACTTTGACTTTCTAACCACTTTTGAAGCCTGAGCATACGTTAATTTTGGTCCTTTTACATGTAAAACTAAAAATACTGCCTCGTAACGTTTGAAATACTTTGCACCCATTTTGAAAATTTCCATTTTAATCAATTGTAACATCGGAATGACAACAAAGCGTATACTGTGCAAATACACTCCAAGCTTTCCAATGTCATAAAGTAAATGACGCTACAGCCAACCGTTTTATCTTAAGGCCGTATATTTTCTTGTGGAACAGACTGTAGTTGCGGGAAGTTTGCGATCGCGGAATCCGAATAGTCAGAAGACCTAGAAGGTCGCTGATGCGATAAATCAGCTATAGGATAGGTCCGACTTGTGAAATTTAACAGCTTCTTACAAGTGCTGCACGTAGCTACTAAGCACTTCAACTTTTTTTTTGTAAATCAATCTAACACATCCTTCAATTTTCATCAAGTACTGACAATGTTACCATAAAAATCGATAATTAGAAATTATAAAATTAGAAATTATATTATCGATAATTAGAAATTATATTATATTATATTAATTATAGACAAGTGTAATGCATACCGAGACAATACATGTTATTCTACAATTGTAATTTCCTCTTATCAAAATGTGCAAATGTTTATATTTTTTGCGCGCAAGATTTATTTCCACTCGCAATATATTCGTGTCTCGAATTTTTCACGCGGCGTTGAAACCACCTGTAGCATTTCGCTGAGAAGAATCACACTTCTGCGGCCTGGGAACTGTTAGCCCAGTTAGCTCGGGTCGTAACGCTCCGAAGATTATGCCGTGTTCACGACGTACATTATCCCCGATGTTCCCACCAACTTGCCTCAGTATAATCGCTCGAGCAGAAAGGAGGGTGAGGGCCCAGCATCACATGCTTAATAATTAACGTTACAAGGATTCATTTTCAGGGCCAAGGTCTCCACTTTAAATTTCACATCCCACGTTTTCCACCAGCCGACATTTTCCCCTTGCGCGCGACTATTTCGTCTAAATATTTTGTTACCGCCTCACCGCACCGAGAACATAAACGCGTGAAAATGATCAAAATCTCTCAATGTGTACCTATCTCTTTTTGATTTCAACATAGGCTGTACTTCTTGTTTATTATAGATCTTTTTTTTTATTTTGCCTTCTTTCTTTTTTCGAATAAAATATTCAGTCGCAGAATTCGAGGCGTCAAAAGTTGGAAATATCGACCGTGTTACGCCCGCGGTCCTTCTTGTAACGCACCGGCGCTCACCCGATGCTTTCCCTGGAGAACAAGGCGCATCACTGTACACTGAGCGCGCGATGCATTTTGCTCGGCACGTGCGTTTTTGCCGCAGGCTTCCGGTCCAGTTTTTAGTCTCGTCCTCGGCCGACCCTTCGTTAAACTCGACAACGAGGCGAAACCGAGACTTTTCCTCGCGAGTGAAAGGATACTTTTCTCTTCTTTGTTATTGTAATAGGTTAAACTCAAAAATACTGAGATTGCGTGCCGATAATTATAAGTTCGGTCTTTCATCATTTCGTGAACCTTGAAAAAAAACGAATTTCTGTATTCTACGTGTGATTATATATAATTCCTTCCCCCCAAAGTTTACGAAGATTTAAAATATCTATATCGAAGCCGAAACTAGAGTCGTCGGCCGACCGAGAGATTTTAAATATCCTGGGCTGTCAGAGTTCGCGTCGGGAATGATTTCGTGTCGCGCGTTCAAGTAATAAGATGAAACAATAAAAGAGAATTACGTGCGCTGTTAGCGCGGTGCATAGTTCCTCCTGAATCGTACGCGAGAGCGCGACTACCGGATTGCACCCACACGCTCATCCTCCTCTCAACTCCCATTGATTTCTTTGTGCACGATCCTGACGAAACTCCACGCTCGTTCCGCAAGAAAGAAAAGAGACACCGTCGTTTTAGAATTTGACGATCGGCCGCGCGATATTTCCGCGGAAACAATGGCTGACTCAGGCCGATCGAGATTTAAGGTCGCACCCGATTGAAGAGATCTCCTCCGTGATAACGGGATAGACATCGAAGCAAGTTCGATGACCGAAGACTCCCACGTAAGAAGGGCTGATGTTTCTGTTTCAGGCACACGTGGTCTCAGCTTTCGAGCAGTCATTATCCAACATGACCCAGAGATTGCAACAGCTCACAGCTACAGCTGAGAAAAAGGTAAGATGTTCGCGGTATGACGGAATTTCCTCGAGAATTTGTACTCTCTCTTCTCACCAAGGAGGGAAATAAACTTCGGTTTACGCGAGTTTACGCGATTCTGCGCGATTCTCCAGGATTCCGAGCTTCAGGAGCTACGAGAGACTATAGAGAGGCTACGCAAACAGAGCGCCGAAGCCGGACTGAACAACGGACCGACCGCCAACAACGGTCGCCGTCACACCCTGGGCGATTCCGAGTCCGGCACTACCGGCTGCACTGGCAACAACAACAACAACAACAACCACCACCACCATCATCATCATCATCATCAGGGTGCATCGATGGCCAGGCAACTATCCGCGGATAGCGTGACATCGTTGAATTCGCTGAGTAGCGCCTGCTCAGCCAGCAGCAGTCACCACAAGAAGAAGGGTTGGTTGCGCAGCTCCTTCTCCAAAGCGTTCTCGAGATCGCGCAAAAATCGTCATGGCTCGGTGTCGGACGCCGAGGACTGCAAGGAGAGCGCCGGCGGCGACTTGAGCGCTCCGAACAGTCCCAGACTGCCGACAGCTTCGAAGCACGAGTCGTCGAGGGGACGCGAAGCCGCACGGAGCAACGGTCAGAAGTCGCCGGAACACGAGAATCCTCTGTCGGGAAGCAAGAGCAGCTCAGCTTTGTACAAGAAAGAGGACGAGGATGTGGACGAGCTGAAGAAACAACTGAGGGAAAAGGACCTGGTGCTCACGGACATTAGACTCGAGGCCCTCTCCTCGGCGCATCAGTTGGAGTCTTTAAAAGATACGGTCATCAAGATGAGGGTGAGTGAGAGGATCTCCCTCTCCGCGCGATTTCTCTGTGATAACAACACCCGATCGATCGATGAAAGTTTCGTTTCTTTCAGAACGAGATGTTAAACCTGAAGCAAAATAACGAACGTCTGCAACGACTGGTAACCTCCAAGTCTCTCACTTCGTCACAGTCCTCGCTGCCTAGCGATCCGGACCGGCGCTTCAGCATGACTGAGGTGGCGTCGAGCGTCGCGGCTTTATCGAACGGCGACGCCAGTTCCACGGCCGACCAATTAGAGGACCTCAACGTCCCGGAACACACTGTGGTGCCGTCGAGCTCGACGTCCGCCGAACCGGTCCTCGAACAGGACACGGATGGCAAAAGGATCAACGTGGCCGTCTACCTTGGCAGCGAGAAGAACTTCAACTACAACCTAATCACCGGCGGTTCTACCGATGGTAGCCTGGGTGAGCCGCCTCATTGCGTGATCGCTAACGTATGCATCAGTAACAAGACCAGCTGGGACGCGCTGGACTCCACTGTGAGACGTTGCTTCAAGGAATACGTCTCCAGAGTGGATCCCGTGACGAATCTGGGCCTCGGTGTCGAATGCGTCGCCGCGTATCACCTCGGCGAAGCCTCCAGGTTGGTATCCTCCTCGCGCAAATAAGACTGCATAACTGAGAGTAAAAAGAAATCTCTATACATTTCCCCCCTCCTCGCAGATGCACCACCGATTCTCAGCATCCCGAACTGTTACCCTGTGGTTACCTGATCGGCCACGTGAAAACTATCTACTTGGTGCTGTCGGGTTACTCTTGGCTCGCGGTAGACACTCTGATACCGCGTTCTATCGTTCAACGACTCATCTCTCTGCTGACCGAGCATCGCAGGGTGATTCTGTGCGGTCCGAGTGGCACCGGTAAGAGCTACCTGGCTGGAAAACTGGCGCACGCTCTGGTCGACACAGATAATGATACCAAAGACGCCGCCGCTGTTGCGACCTTCAATGTAGATCATAAATCTAGCAAGGAATTGCGTCAGTATCTCGCCCACATCGCCGAGAGGTGCGATTCTAATGCTGCCGATGAACTGCCGAGGGTCATCATTCTAGAGAATCTCCAGCACGCCGCGTCCCTCGGCGAGTTATTCAGCGGACTTTTAGGAACCAGGCATTCTTCGTGTCCCGCAATTATCGGCACCATGAGCCAGGCTACCTGCAGTACTACCAATCTACAGTTGCATCACAACTTTAGGTATGTGTCAGCCTTTGTTAAACTATCAACCATACGAACCGATGAGGCAAATCGACATTTTCGCAAAACTATCTGTACAATCACGGTGTCGTGAAGAAAGAAAAGGTGTCCTTCTCACTATATCAATTCTTTGGCCGATTCTCAAACTATTTTTCCAATGCGAAAATACACTTGAAACAAATGGAAATTGACGGTTGAACGATACACACACACACTTTTGTCTTTCGATATGCACGATTCACCAATCTGCTGAACATGCCCAAGTTGAAATTGTGTAATGAAACAGGTGGGTATTATGCGCGAACCACATGGAGCCAGTCAAGGGATTTCTGGGACGCTACCTGAGAAGGAAATTACTGGAGCACGAATTACGTGAGTGTGCAGGGACGAGGAATGCGGAAATGGCGGCAGTGGTCGAGTGGCTGCCACGTGTGTGGCTGCATCTCAACAAGTTCCTAGAAACTCACAGCAGCTCAGACGTCACCATAGGTAACGATCGACATTACTAACGATATATTACGATTCATTCCCGGGGATCCCATTGTATTCTTGTTGTACCGATACATTGTACTGTCCGTCAGGACCGCGGCTCTTCCTGTCCTGCCCGATGGAAGTGGCCGGTTCGCAGGTATGGTTCACCGACCTGTGGAATTACTCGGTGATACCATACTTGGTGGAGACGGTCAGGGAGGGTTTGACGCTGTACGGACGACGCGTTAGCGGTAATGGAAATGGCGAGTCCGTTTGGGAAGACCCGGCGCAGTTTATCACATCCAGTTATCCCTGGCTATCCACGCACGCCGTACACGGTGGCAGTGACGCTCTTCTACGTCTGAGACCCGAAGACGTAGGCTACGATGTCGTCTCTAGCGGCCACACCTCCGGCGTGGGAGCTTCAAGCGTCAAGAGTCTCGGGAGTACTCACAGCGACACCGAGGGAGATCCTCTGGTGAGTACTCATCAAAAAAATTTTCGCTTCTTCTCTAGTTAATTATCTAAATAGGAGGGATTGCGCTTGTCTATTCGTAGCTTAACATGCTGATGAGGCTGCAGGAAGCAGCTAATTACTCGAGTCCTCACAGCAACGACAGCGACTCGGTAACATCACTCGATTCGTCGCATACTCGCCACTCGGAAGATCTGAGCAGTTCCACGTCTTCATCAAGAGGAGTGGAATCGGCGCTCTGAAGCTCATCGCCGAAAGGTCGATCTACCGCGCGTGTCGACCGCTTAACAATTAACGATACCAGAAAAGTAAGGATCGACAAATCCCGCAATTACGCAATCATTCCGATCGCCGAATAATCCAGAGCAAAAACATTAATTAATTAAATAAACAAGTAACTCTATACAAAATATCTTTATCAAACAAAAAAAAGTTATCAGTGAAACATCTCTAAGATTAAAAGCTGCAGGAGAAAGTTACGAATATCGTTAAACCGTATTTTCGTAAACAAGATGAGAGGTCGGTTAAACGTTAGCGAGATTACCTCGTCGAAACAAATACGAAGTCGCACGTTTAAAACTCTCTGAAGCGCAATGAGTTTCCGAAAATATTACGAGGCGCTAGTTATTTTAAGACCGCGCGATACGAAGTACAACTTCGTAATGACCTAAGACGAAAATTTAAGATGCCTACGAGAGCTGGCCTAGATTTAAATTTCTATGTGCGTCCAGCGCTTAGGTGTGATATGTAATTAAGTGAACGAACGGCAATGACAAATGTACGACGACTCCTCGCTCCACGAAAAAGAAACAAGTCGAGAGAAATTGACTTTTTTTCTTTTTTTTCCAGAATTCTCTTGGAGAGAGATTAGAAAGTATGTTCAAATCTTTTGCAATTTCCTTTTTAAATTGAAACTATTCTCATTCGGTTACTGAATAAAAATAATTTTTATGTTAATGGAGGAAACATATGTAGTCCCACTCCTTGGTAGAAATGTTTTTTTTTTTTCCTTTAATTTCTCTTTATTCCTCCTTTAATCGCATCGCTGAAATTTGTCTCGTAAAGAGCTCAGCGCGATATGTCAGAGTTGAATGTAGCAGAATGATATCCTCAATCAATTTCTTTTCGTTTGGTGCCTTTTTCGCGAAGCGTACGCACAAACGTAATGCAATAATCTCCATGCTGCCGTTGCAGAATTATATTTTGCAGGGACGCATTTTTTTATTCGCGACGAAACAGCGCGTAAGCGCAATTAAAGAACATCTCTCGTCTATCTTGTCATTCGATGTATACAGTATTATGGCAGAACGATAAGAAAGAGCGGTTTCGAACCGGAGAACCCTTAGAGAATGGAGGGTTTCTCTCTCGTCCGACTATTTTTCAGATAAAAATTATCTAGACACAGACTTGTGAAGATCTCGAGGACAAACGGAGGATCGCGGAATTTTGCTCATATTATAAAAGAAGTGGCAAAACACAGAAAGGAAGAAAGAGTAAGTCGAATGAAAGCGATCATAGTCTGTGCAAAAAGATAGTCTATTTATACATACTTTGCTACAAAAGCTCTATTTAATTAAAAATGTTAATATAATATAATATATAAATAGTATATATACATATATGTATGTGTATGTACGTGTGTATATATACATACACACACATCCATACCTGAACGACGATGGCGCTAAATATATATATATATATATATATATATACATACATACATATATATACATGTAAATGTGTACATGTGTACTTATGTATGTATATATATTACAAATGGAATTTCTAGGTAAACTAAGGTAACGTCAATAATTCTGGTCATATAACGTTGTAAATACAAGACACAAAGCAGGATAGACTAAAGCGCGCAAGTTCAATTTATCAAGTCCCAAAATTTGTGATCCTCAATATCTCTTGCGATATCGTTTCCTCGCATTTTTCTAAACTTAAAATCAAACCTCAACTCGTCCCAATGATGATGTCCTGCGATTATTCATATAGATTTTGTAATAATGATTCAATTTTCATTTTTATTACAATATACACATATGATAAATTTTATTAGAAACTACACTATTGCAATATCATCACCTTTATTAATATCGATGGTCAATTTTACTGTTCAATTTTCACTTTAAAATTTTCATCGTGAAACTAATATATATATTTCAGAGATGCGTAATTTTCTAAAAATGAAACGAGCTTAAATTTCTGCGTAAAAGAAAAATGTGGAAAATATAGGCATAGTTGACATTTGAAATAATGATTAAACTAGATCGCGGGAGATATAAAGCGAGGATCACGAAAACTATACATATTGTATATGATCGGTGCCCCTACGTGGTTACAACGACGAGGGCACACGTCAACGTATAATATACATACAAGATTATACAGTCGCATTTACAGGTTTTTTACGTTTGTACTGCATTTATACTATATGCTGTACTCCGGCGCCGCGCTCCAACTCTCTACTCAAATAATAATAATTAATTGTGTCATCAAATAAATCGCATTCAAATCTGTGATTGAACCCGTCTCATTTTACCTCGCACTCATTTATATATTGTACTTTAATAACAATAATCATCGTATCTCCTGAAAAATCGTTCCCAACGAAGAAACTATTAATATTTACAAACGGCACTCCGTCAGGATGTCTAAAGAAATTGACAAAGTAATAGGAAGATCAGTAAGTAATCCTAAACATGTCAAGTTTTCAATTTTTAAAATATATTTTTTGTTAGAAGGCTTTTTTGTATACTTTCTTATAAGAGAATGTTTTAATCTTTTATGGAAAGTTCATTCTGTCGAATGTAACTCACTTTTTGTAAGGAATATATACATTTATGTTTAATTGGCTTGTCCTAAAAATTATCCACATGTTACCGATGATCTAAAATCACATTGGAAACGTACTTTTTCCTACTGAGGCAATTCTCCACTACAGCGTAGACAGTAAGCAACCTTCTGTCCATGGCACTTAGATGCGCCTTAGTAATAAGCGGCGGAACATCCGACATTTCCGTCTCGTATGTAACGAGTTTGCTCAATGCAACGCTCAGAGAACCGCCGCTGAACAATCGCAATCTGTCCCACGTGGTTTTGTGAATCCTGGCAAGAGATTAGCAAAAGAGCTTTCAAAGCATATCTTTTCTTCAACGTGTCCCCACAATCGGAGAAATACAGAATATTAAATATAGTATTAACAAATATTACAGGTTTGTGTTACATGTAATTCTGGATATCGTAAATTTATAGTTTAACAAATTGTACTTACATGCAACATTGATAAAGAGGTGCTAGAATGTCGAGATGATCCACATCGGGATTGCCTAGGCTCTTTCCGTTATCGATTAATAACACTGCTGGGTTGTGGAAATTGTTTTGTGCAAGCTCATAATGATGACGATCACCATTGTCCATCAGGAAGTCGAAGATCGCTGTGTCAATCAGATCCAAAAGTCTGCTCGACGACTGCGGTGAATAGGCCTTGGAGTCTTTCACCTGAAACAATAATCAGCATATTCCTGCAGAATTTTTCGGAAAGCTGAAGCGCAACACTGCAAGAGTGCAAAATTAGAAATATTTAAACCGAGGGGAGGAAGGACACTTGACCTATAAACAGCTAACTTGAGAGTCTCGTCTGCTCATATTTAATTGCAATTTAGAAATTAAATTACGATAATAATATTGGGTAAGTAGAAAAGTTGATGCTATATTGTAATGGATATATATTTATAAGAATTGTTTTATGTAATAATATAATAGTGTGCGTGCGTGCGTGCGTGCGTGCGTGCGTGCGTGCGTGTGTGTGTGTGTGTGCATGCGTGCGTGTGTATGTGTGTGTTACGTGTAAACAAAACAATATAATCATATACTTTATCACAGTAAGCCTCGTCGACTTCCCACGTGGCGAATTTATTCTTTTTGTAGGTTCGCTGCCAAGGATGACGATGTTTAACCAGTCTTAAGTATCGCGGAAGCCAGAAGATAAGGGCGCCCTCCAAAATATCTCCTGTACCGCAAACGGGGTCTGCAGGAGAGCAATAATGACAAACGCCATATAGACACGTGTCATTACCCTCCTGATACATAGTCGTGTACAATGCTGGTGTCGCGCAGTTACGAATCTCCTTCAGATCAACTATAAGAATACAGCTACTATTTTTTATTAATTTCTTACAAAAATTAACACTACATGTACATATATGCATGTATGATAAGTGCTGATATATCGTACAACTTGGATAAATGCTTTCCCAAACCTCATCGTTTCGCACAACTTCAACGTACGTTTACGTATAACGGTAAGGGGTACCCTTCGAAGCGCCAACAAGGACGATAAATGGAAGGCCACTATTTCGGCATTGTGTCGGTCCTTGCCGTAATACACTGGTCCACGTATCACGGCGTCTCTCGAGTACCACTGTGGTTTGAACAATGCTCTCACGCCATTTTCCAGATTCAGCATCAGTTTCAATTGTGTACCCAACGGAGCATTATCCGCACGGATCACCCTGGATTGCCGCAGAATCTTCAAAATAGTGCCTAACTCTGGAGCTGCCGGTGGAATCAACTGGTGAGCATCAGGCCACTAAGCACCACAAAACATAGAGGAGATTAACAGATTTATTCTCCACACTCTCAGTTATCAATATATTTGAAGATCAGAATTTCATCGAAACACTTTAGTAATGCTTTACATTTACAATTTATTGCTCAATTCGTTTCCTCTCTTGTAAAAAGAATTACTTTTGATCCACGTAGAAATTTTGGTTTTAAATTCTAAGATTTCTTCCAGACACAAAGTCTTAAAAAATGGTTCCAACTAACATTGTTATTTGGAATATTCCAAATATCTCCCCGGACACTTGGCATTATTTTTAGTTCAGTCATTAGTCGCTCCAAGACAAGGCTATAGCTAGTGTTCTGCTTGAAGTATTTGGACGGTAATGTACGAATTTCTTCTTTGATCCTCTCGTTCATATTTTTGGCAATGGATCTTGATCGCAATTGTGAGTTTCTCTCAATAGGCTGTGAAGATGTAGAAAGATCCTGTTTGGCCTTTGGTACAGACACTGGTAGGTCCTTGGAATAAGTCTTTTGCGAAGAACTCTCGACAATCGTCCGAATAAAGTATATATTCACACCAAGAACCAGGATCAGCAAAGTGCCGAGGGCAAAAAGAGCGCAACGTCGGCCAATCATTTATGATTCTTGCAGGTCCTATGTTAGACTTTCAATTATTATACTATGCGTCATACATTGTGCATCGTACAAAGGTGCCAGGCAAGGAAAGAGGCATCGGATATAACTGAAAATATAAAAATTGACACATGTTTAAAACAGTATATTGTCAATCCGACAAACAACAGTCATTATGCAACTACTCATATCAGCATCAATATAAAATATATAAAGAAAAGTAGTGAAATGAAAAAGTACTAACTCTGTTATAAAATTAACAGTATCCTTCCCAGTGTCCGATAGTAATTGCACAGCTACAGTCTGATACGCGAGAAATCGATTGATGCCGGAAAAACTTAATTTATTCGTTATAACGAATATCGGTGATTACGTTATATATCGAAACATTGCTCACCCCGCAGCGATTGACTATGACGTCTGCTGTCACCTGGCGACGCGTATCTTCCTCATCATTCGACGAACCGTTTTGCTAGTGTCAAAGAGAAGCCTAAAAGCGGCCATGCCCGCAGTTGAAATCGGTAGCGTTTCACCGTACTTTTTAAAGAAACGATCAGGCAGACTCAACTTGACAACTTGGGACCAACTGGTCTGCGTTTATAGCCAATGCGAAATTCCTCGTAACAGGTATTGCGACCAATGCGACACACAGCTTTAGTGACGACACTTTTTCTTATTTATTAACTCGGGAGACCTTTACCTCGTCGATGACATTGCGCGTTACCCACTGAGGAAATTCGTGAACATCGGCGTCGTAGTTTATGCACGCATGTTTTTCTTAAACATGGCGCTTCGCACACGAAGATGAAGCAAAACTCATCTATCGTATCTTTCTTTCATTCTTCCTTCCGGTCTTTACTGTCGACCAATTGGCGAGCTTCGAATACACTCGACAGACGGCGCAGTGTTACGCGCCGGCGCGTTCCGCGAGTAGCTCGAGTCGCGTCAGTTCGGATCAGTTCATAGACGAGCCAGACGAGCTCCGTTACGTCGGATGTGACGAAGCGGTCCGCAGTTTCCTCGTTCGTTCTCGGAGCCTACGTGTTTTCGCGCGCCGAGGAACAACGGGAGACTCGCTGAGACGGACTTGTGAATATGAGAAGTGTGCTTGTGCGCGAGATCGGTTAGGTTGCACTGAGACGAGAACGTTTAACGAACACGGTAAGTACGAGCTACGCTCTCAATTTGTCGCGACTTGAACGCGAGAACATCCGCACCCGATACTCGTCCGTAATTATCCTCGAGATTGAACGTGAGAGCCAGTCGAATAAGAAGAGAGGAAAATAAAAGGAGCGCCGAACAGCGGGATATATCGGGCTGTCGTGACGAGTGTCGAACGAGCGCGCGCGCGCGCGCGCGGACCAGAAAGTGCGAGAGAGGTTATAAATTGCATCTGCCATCATGGGACGATTCGCGGTGAAATTGCCGTCGCGCGTTACCTCGACATTCGCCGAGATCTGTGCGCGATGTGAGAGCGTATCCGAGGAATCGGTCCATCGAAATCCTTTCTATCGTCCACAATAACCGTCTGGGTACGTGAGAAAGAGGAGAGAAAGAGAGAGAGAGAGAGAGATAGGAAAAATTATAAAGGTAACACACGGGGCGAAGATCAGGCGCCTGCCATTACGGCTGGACGTTTGCTTCGCGTATGATCGCGTGACAAGAAATTGGCCGTTGCTGCTCTCGTCAGCTGCAACGATACGCGCGTCGCGTTGCATCACGTCGACTCGATCTCGGGCTCGATCGATCAATGCTGGGCAATGGAAATCGGCCCGCGACCTGAGGGCACTCTCGTGAAAATGGAGTCGCGACAAAACTCGAGGGGGATTCGCAAAAAGGACAATGTCCCGTATCACGGTTCGTTAAATGCTGCCGAACTGTCAGCTGCTTGACGACTGATAGAGAGAGAAAGAGAAAGAGATAAAACGCGCCTTCTTATCGGCGCGTTTTTATCGCGCTACTTTCCACAATCGTCGCGTGCACGTAAAGACGCGCATCTGAGCGTGAATGCGACGCAACCTGTCCCGAAGCTTTAATTGGGGACGCTTTAGGCTATGTGTCGCGCATCATCGCAACTTGCGGCGACGTAACATCGTCCGAAACTGAAGTAACATTTCGCGGACTGGACGAGAAATTTCAATTTGTTTTACGGTTACAGAAAATGTCCCGGAATATCCGAGTTTCTTCTCGGAGGCGTATTCTTTTTTGTGATTAATTCGCGAAAAATCTCTTCACTGTAACGTCATGCCCTGCAACGCGGCGAGTTATTTCGTCTATTTCCAAGCTATCGGATAACTTTGATTATTTTCGTTCCAAGGTATTGATACGCGCAAAATAATATCGTTGATCGTGGTTAATGAAAGTTTCTCTCCTCTATTTATACGTCATGGTTAGGGCCGTGTGATCCAGAAAAGGACAGCCATTTATAGATAGTTGATCACACAAGACACTCTGTAATATCTCGCCGTTGAGAACATTAAGACAGTCGGGATGTGTATGTGGCTTTAAAAGTTTAAAGGTGAATATGAATGATGCATCGTTTTGAGTAATTTTTAACGGCGACGCGCCAAGAACTGTACGATGGGAATTATCTTAATTAATGTTCGTGCAACGTATGTATAAGAGAAATTTATTCCACATTTTTCTTACACGCGTAATTTGTACGGCGCACGCGAAGAAACGATGTTGTATGTAAGTGTCAACTCTCTAACCCGTTATTTGGGTATACCGGGAGATTAACGCGGAGATTAGCGTGGAGATTGCAGATAACGTTTTTGTCGGTTGTCCTTATCGCGATTGTTCCGATTCAAAAGTCGGATGAGTAAGCGAACAGCGAGATTGTCGAGTGGATATCGACACCAATGACGCTCGATGGCCGGATAATCCATTGTCAATGAGCGTCCTCTTAACTTTTGGACGAACAGAACAACGATAACGATCGTGATCAAAAATCACTCAATTTCCTAGTAAAGATTTCGATTATCGACGCATATGAGCATAATTCTACATCTTTATCTCGAAAACAAAGCTAGTAGAGATTGTTTGTCATTGTTCACACGACTATCGCGTCTCTTGGAAGAGTTTTGATAACAAACCTCTGCCCGAAAATTGTTAAGTGTTTGTTCGTTAAATTTCTCGGTTTTGCACAGTCGTGCGGTATTTCTTAATTGGGTCGAAGATTAAAAATTGATTCGAGTAAGAAGCAAAAGAATAGGCATGTGTACGTACGTACATATTCCTTACCATAAATTTCGAAACGCTTGTTGGAAAAGTCGTTCTTAAAACGCGCGGCGCGTTGAGAGCATGAAATTTTCGCGTCAAGCTTTCAAACATTTTTCTCTCCGCCTGGTCTTCATAATACTCGGGTCGTCGTTCCCACTTCGGTGGCTTAAATTCCCGCCTCGTGCGACCGGACCGCGTTTTTTAACCGACGGCTTGTTCCGGGTTCTGGTCTCGGCTTGCATTAGCCGCGCGGAATACGTCGCGTCGGCTCTGCGTCACCCAGTTTGCGTACCGAAACTCGACGCCAGGAAGAACGGGCTCCGTTTTCGCTCGTTTCCGCGTGTAATTAGCATTTTCGAAATTAGTCCGTAATTAATTCCGTGCGTTACCGTTTCGCATGTCGCGAGTTGTCAGGTCAACCCGGGGAAACAGCAAAGGACGAATGTTGCTTGATAATCGCGAAAAAAAGAAAAACACGATGTTAGTTCAAGTATCAAGCGTATTCCTGGTACACCGAATGACAGACATCGGCGTAGGCTAATTGTTTCGATAAGTCTCGGCGCGCGACATACGTCGTTAGTTTCCGCGCAACAAGTGAGCCCGCCGCGAGATGTTTCTTCTCGTCCGAACCGGCCGCTTTTCCCATCTTCTCGCCTCCCGAGTTGATTGGCTTCGAAATGAAGAAACGATCCGTTTGGCTTTGTTCGCAGCCCCGACGACGAGGATGACGAATGAGCACGCCGTTCGCAGCTCCTCCTCTTGAATCTCAGCGCGAACGTCGATGAAGCATCCGCGAGGAGGGTCGCCCGCCACGTTGACCCATCACGAGTACGTCCGCACTTCTTTCCCGAGACGTCTCTTCCCCTTTGGGGGAGAATCCTCCCGGTGGCGGGAATCGCGCGTTATCAAGCACCGTGCATCCGTGCGCGCGTTCGCGCACTGGGAAAGTGAAATGACTCCGATGGGGCTAGCAGTACGTCTCGTGTTACACGAACCACCTGTATCTCTCGCGATCGAACATCCGGAATGACTCGCTCGGTCAGAGCGCAACAGTGAGTGCCGCCGATCGCTCGGGATCACCGCTTGAATCGTGCGATCAGGACTCTCGAGGCTCTTAGGACTCGTTGAGAGTTCGCAGACACGGTGGACAGAGCCGAGGACTCGCGCCGGCGGAATTCCAAGTGCGCGGTGTCCGGGCCTCAGTGAGATGGCCTTCATGATGAAAAAGAAGAAGTATAAATTCTCGGTGGAGGTCGACCTCGAGGAGCTTACGGCGGTGCCTTTCGTCAGTGCCGTGCTGTTCGCCAAGCTCAGACTCCTGGATGGTGGTTCATTCGTCGATCACTCCACCAGGTGAGTGTTACTGTCACTGTTTCGCCGCGAGTGCGGCGTCACGCTCGAGATCGCGTTCTGCTGTCCCAGAGCGCTCGACCTGCATCGCGTGACTATCCGCGCGGCATCGTTCTTTCGATACTTTCGCCTCGCTCGTACGAACGTGCGTAAGGATTTCTCGGTAAAATCCAGCGCTCCCGAGACTCTCTTTCTTTCATTAATAACGGCCGTGAGTTCGCTTCGCGAATGAAGCGCCCGATCCAACCTACTCAATGTGTACACATCGGTGGTACGAAAGCCCACGTCTTGGGTGGAATCTCTCTTCCAAATCTCCGTTCGCGAGAAGATTCGCGATTAATTTTGTACGTAACCGAACGACCGGTCGGAAGAGAATCGTACTGAACGAACACGGGCGGGAAAACTAAATATCCGCGATATTTGTATCCTGTGTATTGACGCACATCGTGCCTTCCTTCACGTGAAATAACGTCCCTATATCCATGTGCGAATGCGTGCGACACGAATTCCACCGTCATCTGTAAGCCTTTCCGCTCAATGACACATTTCACCGTGCGCGAGATAATGTGGCGGAACATAAAGTGTAATCCTTTTCTCAGAAACGTGAAATTCCTGCGTGTTCTTCGCGCCTTCTCTCATTTGACGGCTCGACTCTCGTCGGGAGCAAAACAAAGACACATATGTGTAACGTTTTCTTTTTTTGTTTTTTTCTTTGCGTTTTAAATTAATCTCCCCGTTTTCGAATATTGTCTCATTTCTTTGTCGGGCGACAGCTGTGTTATACTCGCTCATTGTTGAATGACAAAGTCGATAAAGTCAGTCGCGCAAAAATGATCCGACTCTGTGACATATAGTGTTCGCGTGAAACTGCTTTTAAAAACCGCCGCCTTTTATTCCGGATATCAGCGTATACGGCGCGCGTCCTCGTCGGAATACGAGGACGGTATTGCGCCTGCATCGAAATAGAGCGTTCGTGACTGACGTATCGCGCGCTAGCAGTATCGACTTTTCCTCAAGAAAGAATTTCCACCGCGTGATAATGACGTCGGATTTCTTCGTTCGGCCGTTGAGCTGAAATCTTTGTCGAATTGTCATTTTCTAATTTTTTACTCTTAATTTTTTTATCTCAACATTCATTCAACTACTGACGAGAGAGAGAGAGAGAGAGAGAGAGAGAGAGAGAGAGAGAGAGAGAGAGATTCTAGCGCCCGTATGTGTGGGTGTCGCTATTACACCTTTACCTTACATGTGCGAGCCGCGAATGTTTCCTCGTCATTTTGTTAATTCAGAGAAATGATATCGCGCGCGGTGCAGAATTAATTGTCGTCTTGACGTTCAATCAACGAAAGCTTGTTCGATTCACGTAAATCTAACTCATTTGTGCGTTTACGTGGCTCTACAACAATTATGTAACTTGGGCAATTGAACGGTTATTTACGCATCGTTAATTCTCGAGTCGAAATCTTCGTTCGACCCCGCAAATTTCATTCAACTTGCACAGAGAACTAATGAAAAATCTCGAGGTGTAACTCCATACATACGCTCTATATAATTATCCCTTCCTCTTAATTTGTAGAATGGTGATACGTTTCTACAAAAAAAATAAAAAACAGAATAGACGAGGCAAAGTCACATGTGACAAGACTCCTGATTGTTTTATACCGATCCGTTACATGTCTATCGATTAGCTGTGATGACTCGCGATCAGTTTCATAATTATACTCAGCTCCTGCTGAATGTACCCGTCGATGGAGGAAAAACTAGCAATTAATGCATCCGCGAGTAATTTGTAGACCTTTATTTCTCTTCGACCACAAAATGCTTGTACATGCATATCACGTCGACCTGAAAGTGCGCGGTAACGTGACAGCGCGATAATGAGAAATTTGATTAATCGCACAGGCGTGAAAACGATTGCGCAGCACATTTTACAGAAACCGTGGGCCATTGTGAAAAATAATTTGAATTGATTAGATCAATCAGGCACGCATTACGATGTAACCGCGCTGGATCTACTTTTTAACGTACTAATTGAATTATTGAGCGTTATTGCGCGCACAGGACATTGTAGTTACTAATTAATTATATATATGGTATGTTTCTTAGTCATAACAAAGAATCGCATAGTATGATAGCGTACCGCGTTGACCCACATTTTCGCCGCACGTTTAACGCGCCAAGTACGGCTGTCCGTCGCGAGTTTTACTTTGTACAAAATACCGTGGAGGTTACCTCGATTCTCCGATGCGACTATTTTAATAAATTTGTTTCGATTTAATTTTGCCTCGATAATTTTTAGACATTATATTTGTAATCGCATCTAAAGCATCGGAAGAAAGCTAAATTTTTTAACAAGTCAATCTACAGGAATGCAAATAGATGGTAAAATCTTATTGTCTCGCAAGTACTCGAGAAAAGTTTAACTTTGCTTAGTGGAACTATAATTTGCCCTTTAATTATCAAGATATTTAACTTTGATAATTAAAAAGTTTCGCAATGGGAGGCAGTGCGGAATCGGATTTTCGTTACTGAAATATCGACCCAGAATTTCTTGAGATACGAATAAGAGGAACGGTAGCGATCTCGCATATCTGATACAAAGACGAAATTGAATGGGTAAACGTGAGAATCTCAGAAATAGGCGGTATAATTGACACAAAATGCTCTTATGAAGAATCACACGAGGAATATTGAAAATCAGTAGAAAGTGAGTAGCGCAACATTTGTGCCAGCATTTTGCAAATGATATGTTTCCAAACGAAGAGCAACCGCTACATTCGCGGGGATGAAACCGACAGCAATTAGCTGCCGTTTGAAATTGAGACGCCAAGTGGCGAGAGAAACGGGGACAAAGGTGGGATCGGTATTGTGCGATGGAACCTCTATATTGTATTTAAGATAGCGACATTTACGCGACAAGGCGCGTGTTAACGCGAAGCCGGTAATTCATCGCGGGCTTTGTGTCGTCGTGTGACTGCTCGCGCCTAGAACAGGTGAACCTAAATTCAACGAAAACTCATCCGACAGGAGCTAGTTCCTCCCAGTTTTTTCCGGTTCGCGAAAACAGTGCTCTGAGCTTTGCATGAGCTTCTCTTCGAAATGGTGATTCACCGCGAAAAAATATATTCGCGCTGAATTTCCCTATTTCCCGGTAGTCTGCTTAGTTATTTATGTACTCGGCGTAACAAAGAAGGAGAAACTTTTGCATTATGAAACAAGGGTTTATCACAGATGGAATTTCCTTGCCGCACATATATGAATAGTAGATAATTGAAAAAAAAATGCAAACATCGCTCGGAAATATCTCACGAGGAAGAGGTATGTTTTCGTTATGCTCGGATCTAATACCTCGCTATCGATAGAATCTTTCATCTTGTTTACGAAAATTAAGTCCTCTTTTCTGTAGTTCCGATATTATTGGGAGTACAAATTAGTTCGGTCCGTTTTCAAAAGATAGCTCTGGCTGTTATGAATGTTTCATAGTGACATCTGATTTCGGTGGTTTCAGAAAGGTTATACATCTGTCAATAATATTCAGTTTATATCGCTTTGAGTTTCATACAAAACCCCTGTTTTTTACTGTGTTGAATATGTCAAATTTTGTGTTAACTAAGCAGCATTTGCGGGAGGTTTTAGTTTTCTGCTTTAATTGGAAGAAAAATGCAGCTGAAGCGCATCGAATGTTTGTAAAAATTTATGATGACAATGCTCCAACCGATAAATCGTGTAGGGAATGGTTTCGACGTTTCAAGAATGGTGATTTCAGCGTTGAAGACAAGCCTCGCTCTGGACAGGCAAAAAAATTCAAAGACAAAGAATTGGAGGCATTACTCGATGAAGATCCGAGTCAAACGCAAGAGGAGCTTGCAGAATCATCAATTGATTCGTTTGAGCCGTGCATTACGAGAAAAACGGCCGGAATACGAGCAAAGACATGACAAAGTTATTCTTCTTCGTGATAACGCTCGGCCTCATGTCGCAAAAGTCGTAAAAAATTATTTGGAAACGCTCAAGTGGGATATTTTAGCGCACCCACCGTATTCGCCGGACATTGCTCTTTCTGATTACTAGTTGTTCCGACGGATGTAGCACGATTTGGCAGGTCACCGGTTCACTTCTTTCGCAGAAATCGAAAATTGGCTCCTAACTTAGATTGCCTCAAAAGACGAGACATTTTTTCGAAATGGAATTCGGAAATTGCCTAGAGGTCGGAAAAAGTAGTAACCAGCGATGGACAATACTTTGATTAATATGTTCATTCATTTTGTTCTGAAATAAATGCATTTTTGACTACGAAAATACGGACCGAACTAATTTGTACTCCCAATAGATAGCGAAATCGATAGTCGACGCGATGAGGAATACGTCTGTACGACGCGGAATGACGCATCCGACGACAAAAAATATTCATTCGTCCAGCCTCGTCCACCTACATATACCTATGGACGACAATTCGTTTCGAATTGCATTTGCGAACAAATGTCATTCCATTTATATGCACGATCTAGCGCGACCATAGTCGGATCGAGATAAGCGTTTCAAGTTGGTATTTATCTGGTTCTCGGTCGTCCTCGGCTTCCGTCACTTGCGCTACTTTGAACCGTGACCTTCCGCGAAATCGCGTTTTAAATCCACCATGCGGCCAACCTCGATACGAGAATCCCACGCGATAATACAGCGAATCCTCGAATTTATAGTCGACGGGAAACCAACAACGGAAGAGAATACGCGCACGAGACATTG